ATACTCTCCCACCAACATAGCACCAGAGTTTCTTTAGAAACTTACATCCTTTAATTCAATCTTTAGATTGCATGGTTGGCAACTAGATTTAGTGGCATAAATTAGGAATGGCTTTTGACATTATGTTTTAGGAAAGGAGAGAATGGTGAGGTTAGATGTCAGAAACTGAGCTAGTACAGTTGACTGGATGCATGTGAATGACTCCATAGAGACAGTGATTATTCTCCATGCCACTCCCTAAGTAATCAGGGCTCAGGGAAGGCAGTGTATTGTGGTGTCACGACAACTAACTGCGAGATAAAATCAAACCAAGGGTTACTAAAGAACTTTTGGAGAATAGATAATTTTATCTGAGCTAGAAAAAGCACAATTTTTAAAGTTAACTTGTTAGCGATAAGCAAATGAAAGAAATCAGGTAATGGAACTATAACAATAGATGAAAATATCCTTGATTGAATAATTGCAAACAAACAGAGCACAGCCACTTGAAAGCAGCCAGTCAAGCAAACTGGCTGGCTGAGCTAACTGCGTACTGATTGATCATCATGCTTTGTTACTCATAACTGCCCACATTAATCTGATCATTGGTTAATTGTCTATTTGGACATTACCATTAGTCTCTGCATTGCTCAGAAATACCTCAAATAGACTAGCTGATTCCTCTGTAGGGTACAAGCCATTATCACTCAAAGTTTTTACTTTAACCAGTGTGTTAAATTATGATAGCTTAACACAGAGAATCATCTTTACAGCCATTGTGAATATTAGTGGGGACTTAATTTTGTAAAAAATTAACTTAAAACAGTTTTTCTTTTTTATTGACCGATTATGTGCCTGATGTGTTGATCATTATACATAAACTATTTGGCTCCTACAATCCTTCTTTCTATGTAACTTTATGTTGAAAATTCTCATAAAAAGGTTTTTTTGGTGGAAGTTATTTTTTCTCTGGTGTAGAGGGAAGGATTAATTTCCTAGGAGGGTTAGACAACAAAACCTAGTTCCTCCTGTAGTGACCTCTAGATCATATAAAGTAAACTGTTTTACTTGCTGTCAATCAACATCCCCTTTCTATTGTTTTATAAAAAACACTTATTTATGTAGAAGTATTATGAAAAATAATGCACTCAATTAAATGAAGGGAAAGAAAGTCATTTACTTGCTGAAAAATAATGTTGGGAGGGGGAGTGGATAGGGGGGCACCCTTGAGTCAGGCTTTTCCTACAGGAGGTTTTTTGTGGAACCCAGTTGGTGGAATTTTAATTGTGTTAGTAGTTTGAAATTTCAATTTCTAGGTCAAGATGGTTTGGAACATATATTTGATTGTTATAGATCCGTTTGTTTCAGCTACTTTTCTATAATTCTTTTGTTAAAAAAGAAATTTCAGGGGAAAAAAAATCCAAATTATTTAAACTGTGTAATTGTCACTGGCAGTAATGATATTATTAACCTGTGTCTATTTCACTAAAGATGTATTTTCTGGATATAGTGGAATTCAACTCTTTCCTTTATATTGTAATTTTATGGCAAATGTTTTGATTGTTTTTTTTTCATATTTTTAATGAGAATTAAAGCACCCTGCTTTAGCAACTTGAGTAATGTTAACTAGTGAATGCTTACTTGCCTAGGGAGAAGGGGGATTCCTTAAGTTTTATTGAACAACACTAAAAGTCACAAAGGCACTTATTGTATTATGAAAGTCTTTGTATCATTCTTGACTTTCACAGATGGAACCAGACATCAGTCATATTAGAGATCTAAGACTGAGATTTTATTTGATTGTTCTAGGTGAGTACAAATGAAATTAATCTAATTACTGGTCAATTTGTCAATGTAACTTAATTTTTTAAATTTTTCGTTTCTTAGATACATGTAATATTTTGATTGTTTTGATTATTTAAGTTACAAGATACTTTCACAGTGGTGTCATAGAAAATAACTATTAAAGGCCAATAGATGAATGATGTCTTCTTTCAAAAGTTGTGAGCTTTCCAAGGTTAAGTATGTAATTTTATTGCTGACCATTGCAATCCTCATCATATCTCAAAAAATTTGTCAAAAATACAGTAGTCATTATAATTTGTGTTCAAGTTCCCTAATTTTTCTGTTTTTTGACCTCTATTATGAAACAGGAGAGCTCAGTGTGGGCAAATCGCACTTGCTGAACACATATGTTCATGGTTATCATCGTTATCATCGTTATCAATCTTATTCTAGGAAAGGTAAGAAAACTTTGAACAATGAGCATGGAAGCAATGATTTTTTGAAAGTTTAGTGATCTAAGTTTTAATATATGCTTATTTTTTTTGTTTTAGGCAAATTATATTATAAAGGCGTAAGCCTGGATCATGACATCTCAGTAACTCTTGCAATAACGAACCCTTCTGGTGAGGACTGGTTCCAAACTATGGTCTATAACGGTAATTATGACACAAACCATGCTGCTATTGTTGTGTATGACATAACAGAGAGAGGTTCATTTGAGAAAGCAAAGATGTTGGTTGATGGGTGCACTGATTTTACCAGGCCAGGTGCCTTTGTAGCTCTTGTGGGGAATAAAGCAGATCTTAAAAGTGGTAGGGAGGTGTCCTTTAAGGTAAGTAATGTGATCATGTTTATATGATGCCACTGTGCTACTTGTGTTAAACATGAAATCACGTAGAACAAGTTTTTGTTTTATGTTTTTTTAAAATATGATGCAATCATATTTGAGAAAGAATGGTAAAGTGAGGTGGTTTATGAGAGCTCTTTTGATGATTTTTGCATGATTATGTCCTTGGTTTAGATAATTTAGTGATTTTATTGGTCGGGTTGCATCCTAGGGAGAAGAATGTATTTCTAGTTTACACTCTACATGTATCTTGCCTTATTAGCGTCAAAACATGGGAATTTCCTACGTGTCTTTTAAAATCTTATTTGTTACAAAAACCGCGTATAGCAACTTTATCAGGCATTTGGCATCCAGCTCGCTAAAAGGCAGACTTCCCCTGTTTTAACCGAAGTTTACAACACCATGCCCACCATACAGATGTCAACAATCTGATACTGGCACCGTGCAAGTAAATTTTCACAACATGGACTTAACAAACGGAATTATTCTTGCTTACATTTTTTTGTTTTTAAGAAAGAGAAGAATGAGTTAATTTACCAATAGATCAAAAGTGATGAATGACGAAGGAATTATATTACCCGAGTGTCACAGTCAAAGTAACAGCAGTTTCCGGGAGGCAGAATTACATCATTTTACCAAAACCCCTCCTGGATTCTGATGATGACTGACGTTCAGGTTATCAAAAGGACGCTCGTTACTATAATGACAACAGTGCTCCTCAAGACTTCTTTTTACCAGGCTTTCTTGTAAAAATTAAAATTTTCAACAAATATTTATCAGACCCATTTTTTGGTAATCAATGGTGTACTGTATTTCTTTTCCCTATATTCCCAAAATCAACTCGGAGTTATTCCAGAAATGCAGCTCACACACACTGTTATTTTGTGGTGGGAGATTTCGACGTAATAATTTGTTCTTTTAGGAAGCTCAGAATTATGCAGATGAAAACGACCTTGTTGAGATTTTGATGGAAGTGTCAGCACTAACAGGCGAAAATGTGGAAGATCTTTTCTCTAAAGTAGGTGAGTGGCTATTCATTGAGCTAAAAGGGTAAGTTTCTAAAGAAACTGTGGTTCTATGTCGGTGGTAGAATATAGCAGGGTAATTTCTCAGCAGTATTATCAATCAAGTTGAAAACGTAAATTGGCCACGGATCAGCGAGCGCTTTTATTCAACTGGCCGTGCGTATTAAGAATGCCGATTTGAAAGATGTTTTACCAATGTAAAACTTTTTGCGAAAAGTTATAGATCGGTGAAACATTGGAAGACGACTAGGTGACCGACTCCGAGTTCGGATAGCCTCTAAACACTAGAACAATCTCCAATCGCTCTGATAACGAAGGGCTAACGCTCGAAACGTCAGCTTTTAAACTAATTACGATGGCTAATTTACGTTATCAACTCAGGTGATAATACTTAATTACCCTATTCATTGATCTGTCTGACAAAGTGACGGCAAAGTGGCATATGAGGTGCTAGAGCTAATCATAATTTTTTTAAACATGATACAGCTTGGAGTTTTCAACCCAGACCTCTTTATCTGTGGTTAGGGCTCTAACCATTTTACTGCCCCATCTCCTAACAAGCTGCCTTATCCATTACACTGCTTTTTCGGGTAGATGTGTTTTCTCTTAAGGTGTCTTTGGTAAATGGCATGCTTTGCACGCATTGCAACATTCTCCTTCTGCTTTTGTATAAAACCTGATTGAAAGAGAATTCCCCATTATACGTCGGCTAAAGGCGATACAGGCGGAAGAAAATATGCAACCACTTATCATAACATGATTTAATAGAGGATGCTTTTTAAATTATCACATACTCCACTCTTGTATGATGCCAGACTTGCTGATAGCTTGGAGGCTGTGCTATGATATCGAATGAAAAGCATTGTCGAAAGCTTCAGAAAGTCTAGTAACGCCATTTCTGCGGAGTGACCATTGAGGAACACTTCTTTCCAATTAGCACTTATTAATGGAAATAAGAACACTTTCAGTGACTAAGCCTTGACATAAATCCTTTTATTTTTGCAGTCAAGTGTTCGTCAATAATTTGGCAGACCTGTTGTTGTTTTTAATTCTATTAATATATATAAAAAAATAATTGAGTATGGGTTTCTGACTACAGATGAATTGAAGGGGAACATATTTGTTACAATAGTATGTCTGTTGTGGCAGCGGCTGCTTCTATGGTACATGAACTTGGATAACTAACGTTAATTTCTCCTGGAAAAAAGACAAAAATTGTTAATAGCAGAAATTTTTTATGTTTGCTAGAAGAATAAGAGAGTGTGAGGTTTTGTTCTTAGTGTCAAAACTAGGTTGCTTCTGCAGGGATTAGGAAGGTTTAACAGGCAAATGAGCCTATGGCCCCTATCATTGGAAAGTTATGGGCCATTTATAAAACGTTTGGGCCATTAGGGTAAATAAATGGGCCAGTAAAAATTTTAACAAAGGTTTATTGCTTGTGTATTACAGTCTATACCTATACAGAGACATGGTTTTAAGCGTGAAGAACCGTTGCCATGAATAACCATCCGCTATATTAACTTCAAGTGATCTTCAAGGTTTTTGAAATGTCGTGTGACCACCAGAACAAAACGGTGATGATAAATTGCTATCAACCATTCGGCAGTTCATTAATTGACAGTGGTCTTCTATAAAAGCCTGACACTAACCAAATGAAACATAATTGTTTCTGACATCAGTTATGTTTTTTAATTACTTTGTTTTTGACAACAAAAAATTATTTGTTTTGACCATTATTGTTATAACCATATTTTAAGGTCAGAATAAGTTCAATAACAGTAAATATTTGTTCGTTTTGCCAATAACAAATAGGTTACAGATTTTAAACCATTAAGTTTAGGTTAAACCAACCATTTCAATCAACTATAGCCTTTTGAAAAGGTTATTGTCACTGGTCAGTTTTTATAGTGTTTCTCTATTTTGGTGCCTGTGTTACTCATTTTAATTTTAGACTCCTGTTGTTATTTTGTGACTGACAGAATGACCAGCCTTAAGAAATCTTTTTTTTTGTTGGTGCCAAATGACAAGAGTCTAGAATGCTTGGAAGCACCTTCGTCAGTCGTTTCACATGAACCATCTGTTTCGTCCGTTTCACGGTCGTTTTCGCTCACAGTATCACGATTCTGCTCCGCTGTTGTGTTGAAAAATGTAGACAACGTTCTCTGCGAGCTGTCCAATCTCAAGATTTTTTTCGGAGGCATGAGGCTAATCGATGCAAATACATTCAAAGCGACGAAAACGCTCGAACTCTGCTCGAAAACGAAAGTACATGGAACTCCGAGCAATAGCCTCGTTTGCATGCAAAGTCCGAGTTCAGGATCTGGGAACAAGAATGAAGCGAGCGTGATCAAACGAGCGAAGGCACCGTAGTTTTTCGCTTGTTTATGTCTCACCAAAGTGAAACTTTTACAAATTAAAATCCTTTCCACAAAATAGTTTATATTTCACTAACTTTGTGCGGTCAGGGCGCATCACAGGCCCGGTAGGTATTTTTATAAAGGGCCATTCCGTAGCTTTATGCGCCATACGCGCATGGCGCACGGCCTTCCTAATCCCTGCTTCTGTTATCGAAACCAGTTATATCAATTTGTGTAAGCTGTGTTTAGTTCTCTTATGGTGAAACTGCCACACTTCTTTCCTGTTAATTAAGGTTTCCAGGGATGGTTCGTCAGGAAATAATTAGGTTTAATTAAATGATAGGTTTAGGCATTATTTAGGATGTAGAGGGACAAAGCTGACAGGAAATTGTCAGGTGGTGCATAGCTTTTTCGAATCATTCTATTTTGTAGTGAAACGTTTAACTGCACTCGTATCCGATATCCTCCAAACGTTGGTTCTCGGAGAGAAAACTTTGGATTTGAGCAAGAGAAATGTGGGCAGCATTCCGTTGGATTTTCTCACAGCCATGTTTATGAATAGTCGAAAGAACCTCTTACTTGCAAATATCCGATCGCTGAATTTGAGCCACAACAATTTTGAAAAGCTACCTGATATTTTTCTTCAATTGATAAACTTGACGTGCTTGTATGTGAATGACAACAGACTGTCCTCTTTGCCTGAAAGTTTGAGAAGCTTGAAAGGACTTCAAAAGCTGGACTTGAGAAATAACCAACTGAAGGGACTTGATGTGGTTAGAGGGCTGCCTAAACTTAAAAAACTGTTTGTTGAAGGAAATCCGCTCACATTAGAGGAGATCAGAAGTCTTATTAAGTATGTGGAGAAGACTACAAGGACGATCTCCGTAGACATTGCAGGTAGTGTTACATGTACATATGGCAATGAATCTTTTCCACACTCGAGCACAATGTTATCGTGGAGTAAGGATTTTGTGTTTTTGATGCTGTGGTGGTTTTTATCTTCATTTAGAGTTTCTGAAGGAATTTCTTTGTAAAGATTAGAGCTTCAAGTAGGTCAAGCCTGTCTTTCCGTCGTCGCGAAGAGATCTAAATTGGTGTATACGGTCGACTCCCGTTATTGCGCACGCCCTTGTGGGAGGGTGGAGACTCGAGAGAAAAAAATAATTTTGTCTCTCAAAACATATGAAATAATATGTAACTACACAAAAATAAATTATAAAGTTTCATGCGTGGCCTCACGAACCGGAAAAAGATCCTGCCGCAAGCAGGAAATTCTCATGTTCGCACCCAATTGAAGAATGATTTCTTTCTTTTCCTTTCTAATAATGTTCCTTCATATTATGTGAGTCAGTATTTTGGGCGAAGTGTCTGCTATAGTGAGGGAAGGCTGACTATGCAAGAAAGATGGAAAATACCATCCCTATTTTACGACAAGAAAATATTCAGGAAGTTTTTTGTAACAGATTTACCTGAAATTTTGAAAAAATTCATTTTCTCTCCTACCGAAAACATTTAATCTTGTGAAGGTTGGTATGACTTTCATGGAAGTTAATTGTAGTAATGTGCTCCTCGTATTACATCTATCACCTTTCACAAGGTCGTGATGTACCGTAGAAATGTTCTTTGTTTCACACTTTACTTTTCTAAAATAAACAATTACTGCAATATCAAATTTTCCTTTTCCCTCACTTGCAGCTGTAGCTCCTCCAGAAATTTTGGCGCAAGGACATTCCGCAAGACTGGTTTATGAAGAGGCCCTTAGAGATGGATTTGTGAATGTTTATCGTGGTCGCATAATATTGGTTGGCCAGGATCGTGCCGGTAAAACAAGTCTAAAGAAGACCCTCTTAGGTCTGCCATTCGATTACCAGGAACAGAGCACGCACGGAGTCGAAATTGAGCCGTCTAAGTTTGAAGTTGAAGTGGAGCAAATTAAGAACTGGATTCCTAGTTGTGCGAACAAGTCAAGTTTGTCTGATTGTTTGGAATATACAACGGGTATAGCAAAATTGTTGGCGACAGAAAGGTATCACATGATTGTTCGTGATGAGAAGGAAGACTCGGAAATGAAATCAGTAGAGGCACAACCTGAGGAAGAACGCAGAATGGAGTCAGAAGAGGAACTGCACACAAAACATGTTGTCGCCGATCAGGTCCGATTATTATGTTTTTACTTTGAAACCCAGTTATTTTACGAAACAAATTAACACATTTAATACTCATTCCAGTGTTTTGACATAACAAGACAGATATCGACATCGACTGTGTAAATGGGGATGCATCAACCATGTAATTTCTAACGCATTTTGGTATCCACAGCATTGATATTTCTTCTTATTTCCAAATGATAGGATTCCGTGTACGGTAATTTGGTCACTAAGTTTCCAGATAGATCCGGGCCAGTAAGCGAAATTCATAAAGGAGATAATCCAAGCACAAACTCCAAAATGGCTATCAACGCCACCGCACTTCCTAATGCCGTTAAAAAACATGCTGATGAACTCTTAAAGAACATGGTCCTTCAAGGCGTGGATACTGATTTTGCAAACATCAAGAAAGGATCCACGATAACCGCAGATGTGTGGGATTTTGCGGGTCAGCATCTGTACTATACTGCACACCCCGTATTTCTTTCTTCGAGAGCTGTGTACATCGTAGTTCACAACCTTAGCAAGCCGCTGAATGCCCGAGCTCAACCATGTGTCAGGCAGGGAACTCATGAAGTAACTTTGGAGAACCCAAACAACGAGACAAATCTGGATAATCTGCTGTCGTGGCTCGTGACAGTTCATAATATGAGACCAACCGAAGAAGAAATGGTTGAAACGCCTAACGAGCTGCCCCATCTCCGACCTCCAGTGTTCATCGTTGGTACCCATGCTGACAAGCCATATGAAGATACTAAGGATGTTACATCCAAGATACTTCGTGAGATATCCAGTAAGGAATATGGAAAACATGTGATCCGACCATTCTTCTTCATTGATAACACTCAAGGAGACCAGTCATTCGCACGGAAATGCTGGAATTTCTGTAAGTTTCAAAGAAATCCTGAAGCAGGTAAATCATTTGTTTGAGTTCAACATGATGTTTTAATGAGGTTGGGTTTACTTTGATTTCTATCGAGGACAGACAATCTTATCGTTAGATAGAGTTTATTGGATTCACTGGAGAGTTACCCGTTGCTTTTCTGCATCTTATTCTTATCGTCCTTTTGTCCCAATCTGGATATGTATCTACTTTTGATGGTGGCACCTTGTTAGTGCTCCGGTTATTCTTAGATATCTTTAGAATGTATTTTCTCCATTTTCTTTCGTTCATTTTTTTTTTATTGACGCGGTTACATATGTAAATACCATGGCGAATGTTTTCGCTGACCAAATTATCTTCAATTAGTGAAATTAATAATACACTACAAAAGAAGTGACTTAAAGTGCTGCAGCAGAAATAGACCTTTCTAAATACGAAACTGTGGATCATGGTCTTAGTTGCCATTAAACTCGTATCGAAAGTCCAAGGAGAAATCTATGTCCCTCCTTGGCTTCTCTCAATAACGCTAACTGTTTCACATAATTTATCAATGAAAGGCCATGAACGAGAAAATGATGGCAGTGGAGCAGATGAAATTCATCTTCTTCGAGCGAGAATTCTGGAAGTACTTCGACAGGAACCTTATATGGGACAGAAGATACCAGTCAGGTAAAGTATGATATTTACTGATATAAGCCCAAGAGATGTTCAGCTCATTTACTTTACACATTTCAAATGTGTAAAGTATTTTGCCTCCACATAAAACACTAGAAAAGTAGTAGAGGGTACAGCGTGGAGTACTTTTACAACTAGTTTTTGGGCGTACAACCACCATGTCAATGCTTTCTCCTGAATACGTGATAATATTTCCAAACCTTTGTTTGCTATGTGTTTAATTTAAACTGTTTGAAATCTAGCAGTAAATAACATGTTTTTTGTTTTACCACAATTTGTTAACATTCCTTGGATTAAGGTAAGGAATGTTAGAAATACAAAATTTTACCGGTAGAATTCAAACAAAATAATATCACTTTAGAGTAAAATTTTTTTGGAGGGTTAGGCCGTGAGTGGTACGACTTATTTTCTCCTGTTGCTTACTTGTTTTTCTTTTAACTTGTTACGTGTGAGTAACATTTCACCATTACTTGTAGATGTAACATATCCGCAAAGGATATTCAACCGGCCATCAAGCCATATTCTAAATTTCGAAACTTTGCCACATGCAATTTGCTCTCTGATGTATACCTTTTTGTAAGACTGATTATCCAATTTTTCATATTTCTAGATGGTTTAACTTCGAAAAGGTCATTGAAGCTTTGGTAGCTGAGAATGTATATCACACAAATACTGTCCATCTTCAAACCTATGCCAAGGATGTATGTTGCATAGAAGACGATGAACAGTATTTCACCATGTTGAATTTCTATCACGACTTAGGAATGATTGTGAAACACCGCAGCACAGTCATTCTGAAGGCGCAGTGGTTAATCAGTCTACTCAAGAAGCTTATAACCATCCCTCCATTCAAAAAAGCGGTAGGAAAAGATAATCTACTCACTTAATCGAGATGATTGCAAATCGCAGGACTTGTTACCATCATCCCACTAGCACTTTACGAAAAAATATTCATTTGATTGTCTGTTTGTTTGTTTTTTCACGCTTTTTCACGTTGTCTGCACCTTTTACAACATTTTCTCTATAACTTTCACGTGTCTACCCTTCTCCCCCATTTAAATATTGCCTGATATGAACAAAATGGTCCCTGGTATAATATAACATTGTTTGGGGAGTGAGGTAAGGGGAAATTCAATTTACTAATTAGGGGTGAATTACAAGATTTTTCTTATTATGCTAAGGGAAGGCTTGTCAACTACTTTTGCCACTCATTGTACCCTTAGTAAAGGAGAAAGGTGATATGTTTTGGGTCCACTGTAAAATACATAGGGTATTTTAATAGAAAAATTTTTCGATTGATCTTATTTTAAAAAGTGAATTTGTGGTTGCAGGATCCTGTGCATTCCGAGTACTGGCTGGAACTCGAGACAAGTGGTGTCCTTAAGATGGAGCTTGTTGATCACGTTTTCTCCCCTCTTATTAAGCAAGGCGTTAACAAGGAAGACATCTTGGACATGATGGAGCAGTTTGGTTTGATTGCAAAATACTCACCATCCCCGGCTGACGTTGAGTACTTTGTACCATGTCAACTGAGGTCCTCACCTGAAGAGCTTCGCAAAATGGAGCCGTCATCTACGGATCCTTGTCCTTTGTATCTTCATTTCCAAGAAGGCTTTGTCCCGCATGGATTTTTTACTCGCCTTGTTTCAAAATCGGTTGCTTGGTGTGGTGCAAATGGGTCTTCACAGTCTCCGAAACTCTACCGGAATGGTGCATGGTTCGTTCTTGATGGATGCATCTTACATGACATGATTATGATTTGCAAAAAAAAGTTCATAAAAATCCTCTTGAGACAAAGAATTAAGAATGAAGCAGTTCCAGTGTCCAATTCAACTTTGGCAGAAGTTGCTAGAAGTGTGCGATTGTTTATGGAGAGCATTTTAGAGACGATGTCACAGGAGTTCCCATACTTGAGCAGGATGCGGCATAAATTTTGTGTTGAGTGCCCCTACTGTCAGCAGGGAGGTCGCACGTGCACAAACCACAACCAAGTGTCCTGTACAGAAGAAGACTGCTTACACCTGCTTGAATTAAGGCAAGGACAGGATTTAATCTGCATGGAAAGCATATCTAATAAAGTACTTACAGTTCCTGGACAAGAGAAATGGTTGTTGAACCAGGTATGATTCTTGGTATGTCTTCATAAGTAGTAACGGAAACCAATTAAGAAGAGCTTACGATAGCTGCAATGATATCACATTGTGGGATGACAGTCGTATTAATCGGAAAACCCAATTCAGAAAATCTTTGATTGCGATATAATAGTGTCATAGAATGATCTTGGATTTGAGGTGATAACAGCTTCGTCCAGATCCTATAGCAATTCAGCAATGAAAATACTGTATGAGGTTGTATCTTTTGCAATTGCGTAATTAACTTTTTGGGTGATCCTAGACATGTATGAACGCGTTCAACCGGTTCGTTTCTCTCCGTTTGGTTTATACTTTCGTGAAGTGAAACAAGATTATATTTCTTTAAGAAAGTAGGTTTTTTTCAGTTAAAACTGTTTTACATACCGTAACTGGAAAATGGTATGCTTTTCCGTAATAAAAACCGTTTTGATGTCATTATCCAAAAGGATGTGGCTCCGTCAGTGGTAAGAACCTCACAAATTGTACCAGTACGTGATCACCCAGCAAAGCGCGACAAAAAGTTGAAAGTTACTCTTCTGGCCAGTGAGTGGAATTCATCAAGGGGGGGTTTGTCCACCATCAACAGACACCTTGCCATCGTTATGGCCAAACGTAGTGAGATAGAAGTCACTCTCTTGGTACCACAATTTGCTTGTTCTGAAGAAGAGAAGAGAGTTGCAGAATGTCATAAGATTGTCATCAAAGAAGCAGAGAGACGTCCAGGCTACGACCCTCTTGACTGGTTGAGCTTCCCTCCAAAAGACCTAAAAATTGACGTGGTCCTGGGTCATGGAGCTAAGTTAGGGAAGCAAGCCCAAATAATTAAGGAGTCCCATAGTTGTCAATGGGTACAAGTAGTGCATACTGCGCCTGAGGAGCTCGGAATGTTCAAAAACTATCAGAGAGCCATTTCCAGAGGAGAAGAGAAGACTACAGCCGAGGTAGATTTGTGTAAATTGGCAAATCTAGTTGTAGCAGTAGGACCCAAGTTGACGGAGGCCTACTCTGCCTATCTACGCTCATGTGAGAAGCCTCAAGATATCATGTCGCTCACTCCTGGCACATTCAAGGAGTTTTCTGCTCTAAATCAAGCCTTAGTTGACTCTGAAAAGTTTAGGGTGTTGACCTTTGGTCGTGGTGACCCTGAGGACTTCGGTCTGAAAGGGTATGATATCGCTGCTAAAGCGATGGCTGAACTGAAAGACCACCCCTACCATCTGATCTTTGTGGGTGCACCTGATGGAAAACAGGAGGCAGTTACGGAAAATTTGCTGCAGAATGGTATTTCTAAACGTCAGCTAACAGTGAGAAAGTTTTTGCAAAGCAAGGAGAAATTGAAAGAGTGTTTTTGTGAAGTTGATCTCTGTATCATGCCATCCCGGACGGAAGGGTTCGGCTTAACCGCGTTGGAAGCCTTGTCAGCTGGTCTTCCCATTCTTGTTAGTGGAAACTCAGGTTTTGGGGATGCACTGCGCACTGTACCATCCGGCAAATCTTTTGTGGTTGATTCTGAGGATCCCAAACTGTGGGCTGAGGCAATTGATGGTGTCCGAAAGAAGAAGAGATCAGAGCGCCTTAAAGAGATTGAACGGCTGAGGACATCTTATGAAGAGCAGTTCAGCTGGGAGAAACAATGTGACCTTCTTGTTGATAAAATGTGGGACAAAGTTCGTGGCGCAGGCATGTTGATGATTTTTATATTTCTTTACGTAGACTTGTCTTCTGTTGTGGTATCCCAAATTTATTCTGTCATTGATGTGAACACATCTTGTGCCTCGATTTTTAAATGTTCGCCAAAAAGGAAACGATTTGTACAAACGGATAGGAGTGAAATAGGTAAAAGCAAAAGAAAAAAAAACCTTTGAAACCCAAGTTTAATTATCTTTCTTGAGTGCATTCTAAAACGTTAATGTTTTAGCGGAACAAATGTAATACTGTGTAATAAGGTCAAGTTAAAAGTTAACTGCCCCAGTTATTCACGAGCAATTATTGCTTTCGTTACGACATAATCATGTTTTATGAAAAAAAGAAAAAAAGACAAAAAAAACCTTGCAATGTAGAATTTTAATTGGCAAGTTTAGACTATTGGCCGCGAATTTCTATTCCAATACTGTTTCTCGTTTTCGAATCAGAAGAAAGTGTTTAATTAATAGACAAAGCTATTGGCGTGTCCTCCGAAGGACCTGACTGAGAACTCCTGGCCGTATTTTCAATTTTCAAATCTTCCCTTGTAGCTGTAAGAAGAGCCTGTTCCTGTCAGTGAAGATTTTGGATCGATTTTTGTTCTCATAAAATTTTTCTCCATAAATGATCCTGCTAATAAGACGAGATCTCACTCAATTGAAGGTAGCGCCCTCCATTAAAACTAAATCTGAGTACCCGATTGGGTAAGTGTCCCTCTCAGCCCCGATTTGGGCGGATATTACTTCACTAGCAGTGAGCTTGCGGCTGATTCAGAGCTTATACAAGTTTCACGCAGCTTGTAATGGCAATACCGGAAGAGTTTTCAGTGGGTTAAAGTATATTCACACTAAACAGAAACTTCGGTCTTTAATGTGATTTATTTTCACTGTCATAACTGAAACCTTCTTTTCCATCTACATCGTATGATTCAAGGAAATACACCTAAAATTGTTTTGCTTTTAGGGCTTCTTCGACGAACTATCCAGAATCTTCAGCGGATGCAACTCTGTGCAAGCACGGTCAACAACAGCACTACCTTGACAGAGGAGTTAACGACGATTGTATCAGATAAGGGCTTCAAAATTTCTGACAATCAAGGGTCAGGAAACTGTATGTTCCATGCCTTGACAGAACAACTAGAAACCGTCAAAGGAATCAAAATCCAACATGGCCAGTTGAGACAGTCTTTAGTTCAGTACCTCATGGAAAACCCAAAACTAGTGAGTTGCTGTAATTCTCATAATTAAAAAGAACCGGAGGTTGATCAGAAGTTTTGGTTATTGTGTGTATATTTCTCTCTCCGTTAGATGAGGACCTTGCTGGGACACTAGTCCCTTTCACACTAGATATCTTCAAGCATTTTTTCAGGTTGGCCTGACAATTGTTCCACAATTTTTCCACCCGTGGAGAGAGGCACTTTGACAACGAGGTGTATTCTCCTACAGCTTGACGACACAGTCACATTATATAGGATTGTGTCAAAAGCTTTGATCGTAGTCTCTGCCCACATTCTCATATAATTTAAATGGAATAATTGGTAGAGTGCTGTCTTTGGTTATGTAAGTCGCTTGCTTAGAAAATTATTCCTTTCAGAATCAATTCATGATCAATGAGCTACCGTCAGTTTAGCTCGGCTCTGAATAGGGCGAAGATGTTTTTTGAAGACCTTCTTACCAGTCTTAATGATATTCTTCTTAGACAGAATGTTTTGGTTCCCTCTATTTAAGGACTTAGTTCACATTTCACTCGCGTGGTCGCATTTGTTAATTCTCGTTTCTTAGAAGTGTGATGGTATCTATGAACGGCCAAACGTTTAATTGCGATAGGTTCATGGCGAGTCTGTCTGTCACCGAATGGACTTATGATCTTGTTGAGTTGTAGCTGCCGCTGCCCATTCAGATTCCTGTAGTGCGACACTTAGGTGATGTTTGTTTTAGCTTTTTCTGTTTGTCCAGGGTGTTGAAAGTGTTAAAAAGCTATCACTGACGTTTCCACCGTAAAGAAGTTGATTTTTTTCTGGAGATTGCCTTGAATTGTGCTCGGCTCTGTTTTCAAAAGTTATTTGGATTTCAAGTATTGATTGCTGTCTCTTCTCACAGCCGGATGGAACAGATCTCTGTCACTTTCTCCAAGGCCATGAAACATGGGCTGATTACCTAGCATACATGGAACAAGATGGCGCTTGGGGTGATCACCTCATTCTCTGTGCAGCGGCAAATTGCTTTAAAACGTGCATTCGTGTGGTAAGCAGTCTACAGAATGATGTAGTCATCAGGCCACATGGTCCTGTTGACGAAAGCAAGCCACTAGTACTGGGATATATTCGTGAAGTACACTTTGTCAGTCTTCAACCCATACAAGGTAAGAAGGGAAAAGCACACGTCACGTGCTTTTCAATTTGGAAATGATGAAGATCAATTAACATCCGTAGCGAAATTCGAAAACCTTATGTTCCCTACGTAAAGCAGTAGCTGCGTCGAAGGGTTAACCCTCGAACTGTTAACTTCTCTCGAATAACTACGATGGTTAATTAGTTGATCCTTCTCAGAGATAACTATGAGAATGAACTAAGTTTTCCACTTACCGGCTGGAAAAACACACCAGTGTCTTTAGTGACTTGAAATGTACCATCGCTATCGTTTCACGAGTAATGCATAATCATAACAAAAGCTACAAATTAAACCTTCTTTTTTTTGTTATCTTCTTTTATATCCCTCGGTTGCTCTCAGAAATCATAGCAGTTTTACTTGAAGTGATCTTTTGCAGTCTCTTTAAAAATATCGTAACCTCTGAAAACCGCTGAAAAGTGGATTATGAATATGTTTATCTGGTTCTTAAGTTGTATTAATATATGCTATCTGTATTTGAACAAAAAGTCGCTTGGTAGGGGAACATTGTAAAGCATATAAGCTTAAGTCAGAGGTATTCACGAATCACATCTGCCGAATGTACTTGAGGGTCACGGAAGGTATTGTTGTGAGGTGTTGTTGAACACTTGCTTCCCACCATTGTGGCCGGGCTATATCCAGGACCTTGCTTCTCATTTCGGCTGAGTTTGTTGTTGATCCGCGCCTTTTCTCTCGGCGTTTTTCTTCAGGTTCTCCTTGTTGGTCTTTTTTTCTCATTAAGTTAACATTCAGAATTTCAATCACTATGCGGAGAACCATATCCTTGGATATGTGAAATTTTCTGTTCATTAATTTTGGTTTGTTTCTTGTTGCATTTACAGGCTGAAAAGTTTTTCGGCAACTATGGATACAAACCTGGAAGACCTTCACGAAGAAACAGATCGCAATCAGATAAAAATGCGAAAGTTTAGAAAATTCTCTCACGAAACTTTATTTTTAGCCGAAAAGAAAGCTTTAGATAAAACATAGCTTTTAGGAGATCGTAGGTTGTTCGGTTTGGATAAGCTTAAGTCACTAAATTGCTATCGAGTTTTTGTGGTTTGATTGAAATGTTGATATAGAGTAATTCTTATCTGAGTGTAAAAAGTAATCCCGTACTGCTTTGGTTTTCTTTATTTCACTCTACTTTTTTCTTTTTCTGTGATTGGTCTAGAAACTCGCACAATGTGCGAAACAAATCAGACGCCAAACGAAAAAGAATCGTGACTGGTAGTTTGCCCCCCCAATTTTAGTAGTTTGCCTGTATTTCTTTTCAAAACTCTTTGGCTGATAACGATGCAGTACTTCGTTATTATTGGCTGTTGTAATTACTTTGTGTTTTTGGTTTACTCCCGCCAATTAAAAATTCCTCCAAAAGCCATGAATTACTAATTGCAAATTACAACTTGCAATGTTTTCTTCTCTCATTGGGATGATAGCAAAAGTTGTTTCGCGAATTTCTGTTCAGCAATTATGGAACGTCACTCATCCACGATGTTCTTATGTTTTATTGGTGCCATTGTGCTTTGGTGTCGCCGTTGTGTGTTCACGATCACTTTTGCTATCAGCCCTGGAAAAGAACCCCAGCTCTTTGGGGAAACTTTCAAACTTCTCACCGTGAGAGACTTGATGGCCGACAATGCTATCATGAGTATGATGTTCAAGTCTACTGCTTAACGGCTAGTTGTTAGGTACTCAATTTATTTAGTTGCAAAGCGATTCCTTTTCACATTTGCTAATGTCGTTTGCTAGTTAGACCTTAGTTCCGCTGGTGATTGAGTGGTTTATTCACAAGTGTGTCTCTTGGAATTAAAACACGTTATCAGAACATACCAGTTATGGCTATTTGGCGAAGGCAGTGGAAGAGACTTGTCTTGATGGCATTTTTAAATGCGATTCCACTAGCTTTGGGTTCCGGTGGTAACCATTTAGATGCGATATATTATCAGTTTAGCAAGGATCTGCCACCCATATCAGATCTTCCCGGCAAAATCCCCTTTTTTCGAAATCGGAGATGTTTGACAACCAAGTTCGTGACTGAGTAGAAAGCTGCTAAGTATCCAACGTATACTTTTAGTCAGATCCATTAAAGGATTTTAATACAAATTTTTGATCATTAATTCATTCCCTATGAACTAAAAATTTAAGAAACCTTTGTCTTCATATACGTGTGTAAAGACAAGCACCAAAATATAGTATTTGTAGATTATCACATTTCTGCACCGTACTATATGTTAGGAAAGATAAATAGACCATAAAAGACAGTAAAATAAAAATATTTGGACACAGCCATTTTTTCCCTTTGTTGTCATTATTCTACTACATTGTATGTTTCTTCCTCGACCATGAAACGCCTATAGGAGGAAATTTACGGGAATACTCAGTTCAAACTGGCTGAAACTTTAACGAAACTGGAATGGGATTGTTTGGTTATATTTTCGCAGATAAATCAAATGTTCCTTTGAGCTATGTCTTAACTGTTTGATTACGTGGTGTCCTCAACTCCTTTCCAGGCAATAGGTGTCCGACTTGGAATGTGCTTGTGTTAAAACTTATATCATCTTGATGAGCAGTATTTGAATCATAAACTTTAGTCTGTGGAAATGGTACATGAGATAGGCCTTTACTTTTGAGCTGTTATTCAACCTATAATCCTCAAAAAATTCAGGAGCTAAAATTCAGGAGTTGTACTGGATTTTTGAACATATCTTCGTCTTATCTAGAAAATGGACTTACCGACTTTTTTAAGGTTTTCAAGCTGTAAGATTGTCACAAGCTTATTTACGATATCAAAACTTTCAAACATGGCTAACACTCGCACAGTGCAATTTCTCGTTTAAAGACAAAAAAAAAGGAATTATGTGGGATATATCCAAACTGGCATCTCTGTCAAAAATTTATACAAATCATGATGTCAGAGCGATTGCGATCACGATGTGGTCCGACGCGCACGTTCCATAGCGGCACATAGTGGCGATCTCCGGCCACCGCTGTGGAGCAAACCTCAGAAATTAAAATGGCGCTTATTATATAAGCTAGTGCACCAAAATTCGCCGTCTTAGTCAAGGCAACTGGGGCATTGGATTTTACTTGAACTTGTCATTGATTAGGGCGGCATATCGCTCTTTCTAGAAAAGAGCGAAGTTATTGACTAACATCTTCTAATAGCCTTTCAAATAAGAAAGATGGTTAATTTTGAGCACGGCAAAGTGATTTAAAAAGGTGTTTTTCCGTCTCGTCTCGTTCTTATTCTCATATGACGCTTTCGACATTGCTTATCTCAGCTGTATGCAAGACAACCATGGTCCTTATAATGGTGTAACTCATCGTGGGGTCTCTGTGGCCCAGTGGTCAGGCATCGGAGCGAGAAATCATAAGGTTTGACATTCGATTTCTCATGGGGACTATATATTAATTTTTGTACTTTTGTCCATCGCTAGAGACAAGACCAATGAACATCTTCTCCACAACCGTAAAAATGGAGCTTACCTACTTTTTGTTTTACCTTTTTTTTCAGTTGTACGGCTTAGGACTACTGCAGCTCGATGTGCGGTGAGGCCGGTCACTCACTCAATAACAAGTAACTTAGCGCGCATGTAGTTTTCATCTTGTTTGATAGAATGACAAGGCTTTTAATCCATTTTGCATACTTTCAATCATGGTCTCCCTTATAATAGATAATAACAATGCGTTAATTTCTTCATAATTTTTCCTTCGTCAGTGAGTTACATTTTTTTATTACCTTTGCGTTCTTTTTGCCACGCTCTCTTCCTGAGAGAATAACAAACAGTTATTCCTTTATTTACGCAATTTTAAATTAAGGCATTAAATAATTGTTTATTTATTACGGAGATCCTCTGTTTTTGATGATATGAACTATTTTAGAGTTTCAAAGTTATTTCCTTGTCAGATAGAATAAGATAATCACCTTATTTCACACTGAATTCAGGCTCTTCGGGGTTGTGGTGCTCCATTATCCAGAGTTTCAAAGTTATTTCTTTTTCAGATAGAATAAGATAATCACCTTATTTCACAATGAATTCAGGCTCTTCGGGGTTGTGGTGCTCCATTACAAGCTTATGCGACAATCGCTAATTTCTGGTCGTGTTCACGCTAAATCACAAGTACAGTCGAACCTTTTCTAACTGATCACCTTTTATTAAGCGGTCGGCTGTGAAAGTCCTCTAGGAAGCAGTAGTGGTCATCCTTTGTTTTCCTCTTTAATCGAAAGTCGTCCTGAGCGAAACCTCTCAATAAAACTAAGAAAGATGATTAAAGTGGGAAAGTTTCGGAAGAAACTGTGGTGCTGCGTCGGTATCGAGTATAACAAGATAATTTGGTTTTATCAATTGAGGCCACCTTAGAAAACTTCGAAGGTGACGTTTCAAGCGTTGACTCTTCGTCAGAGCAAAACTTTTGCCTTTGTTTTATTCAGTTAATTTCCCCAATTTGTCTCAAGCTAAAGGTCAAATGGCTGAACTACAAGCTCAAACAAATGGCAGACCAAGGGGAAGGATTGTCAATCTCATCTTGGGTAGGCGAGCCTGACAGGGTTGCCTTAACTTCTGAAGCCGATAGTTAACATGGAACTTTAATATTATAGTGGAAAAATGTATTTACAGAGGGGAGGGTCTCTAATTACTTTAATCTTTAACATCTGAGATTCCAATCAGATATAATGGATACACATTTTACTTTTAGTGGTGCTAGAACTGAAATTGTAGCGATGTTGACATATATTCTTAGGGATGTGGTGTTTATCTAAATCCAAAATTTTTGGAAGCGAAAAAACTACACAGTCTGGGATGGAGTTATCAAATGCAAAGGTTAAACACTTGACTAAAAAGACGCTCTTTAACTATTCATTTCGTGGGAAATTTCAAAATACCTGGTTCTCTTTCAATCCTTCAGCAAAATTTTCGACATAAACTGTATTCCCCTCGTTACGATACGGTCCTACAGTTATGAACGTAACTAAGGTGTGTGTGAATATCTCGATAATTTATTTCCTCTTGGTGATAAATACTATAATAGATATAATAACTGCACGAAAACAACAATTGCAATCCATACATTTTAACGAAGAACATTTTTCATCATCAGATGAATGAGGTTGTAATAACTATATCCCAAGTAATCAGAAAACAAGAAAGCAAGTTGAAAGGACTGAAGCGCTCCACTGTAAGGGCAGCTGCTACCGAGTATTTTCAATGGGGTAAGAGGTAAATTAAAATTATTCAGCATTATAACGTATTTAGTGGCAAACGTGGCCAATAGTAAGAAAATATTGGAAATTTGGGAGGAGAGAGCATCTATACTTTGTTGTTTCTTTTTCGGCAAAATATTTATTGACATTTCGAAAATAAAATTTAATGTTTTATATAAAAATTCTTACCAAACCACGAAAACTCGATAGAAATTTATCATGACAAAGCTTATACAAATGTAAAAAACTATGTTTAATCTAAAGCTTACGTTTTCAGCCAAATATATAGTCACGTGAGAAAAAAATCCTAAAAATTTGGCAGTTTTCTTTACTGGTTGCCTTGTGATTCTTCGTGAAGGTCTTGCCGGCTTATAACTATACGTGCCGAAAATCGTTTCTTTAGCTTGTGAAACAAACATCAAAACACTGCGAGTAGAAAACATACGAAGTAAATAAAGAAGAATTTAAAAGAAGCACATTAAAGAAATGATTCTACATCTAGTGACTGGAATTGAGGATGTCCGTTTAGGAGGGAGGAAACCCAGAAGCTTGGGCAAAACACTCAGAGAAAATGGCTCAGGAAAAAAACAAGTACTGAAATCAAACTCAGTCCACATAAGACGCAAGGTGTAGGAAAATAAACCGGACCAGAGAGGTGCAAGCCCTTTCACCACTAAACCTTCCCTGTTTCTGATGAACATGAAGTCGTTTCGATACAAGAGAGTTGTAATAAGCGGACACCTTTCAATTTAACCATGTAAAACATTGCTTCACTGCTAATGAATTTTCGTAACCTAAAAATAGTCTTACTTGGTAATTATGAAAAATAAAACAGCTATTTTAATATCTGATTTGGTGTTCAAACCTTTTCTTCGATTTGCCATCTTTTCAAAAAAAAAGAAAAAGAAAACATCAATCCTCAGTAACACTGTTGTAACTTCTTCATACTATCGTGAAATGCAAAACGAAAAAAAGAGAAGGTGAAATTCGTAGCTTAATTTATGACTCTGCACGACATATAAAATGATGGTATTAGTAGACTTAACGTTACCGAAGACGCTGGCGTGTCGAGCCAGCAAGGAATCAGGGCGTTTGGTACTTTCCCACCGTTAAGTTTAAAAAAAATCGACTAACTAACCATCCCAGTGATTCGAGAATACGAGACAGTTCGTCGGTGGCTTCCTACGTCACTGCTAGTGCCTTACGCAAAAAATGTGGTTTTTGAACTGCGCTATGGATGAAAATTGATCGATATCTTCATCGTTTTCCAGTTGAAAAGCGCGTGATGTTTGCTTTTCCCTCCTTACCCTGTATGGGTTAAACACTGACATAGTGTACCTGATGAATATGTCCCAGTACTAGAGGTTTGCTTTCGTCAACAGAAGAATGTGGCCTAATGACTACATCATCGTGTAGACTGCTGACCACATGAATGCAAGTTTCAAAGCAATTTGCTGCTGCGCAGAGAATGAGGTGGTCACCCCTAGCGCTATCTTGTTCCATATATGTTAGGTAATCAGCCCATGTTTCATGTCCATGGACAAAGTGACACAGAAATGTCTTGAAAGCCATTTTCACAACCACTCAAAAGATGTGTCCATTCATACCAGGTTTACTCCCCATTTTCCTCAGTAATCCCCTCTAACAGTTTGTTTTTATGTAAAATAAAAGCTTTAAACCTCCGGAAAATACGGGCCAAAGATACAAGGGAAAGCTTGGTGTGCTTTCATTTTGGTACCCAGGGGAATTAGGAAACGAACTTTAGCCGGATGATGCAGATATTTCCTGACAAATTCAATCATCAAGGTGAAAACGCTGGCGAATGTAATCTTGCCTGGTCTTGCCTGGGACAAGAAATGCCCTCGACATTCGTGAGATGCAAGACATGATGTGGGTTGTACCATTGCTGTAAACTGTGTCATATAACCGTCACGGTAAGCTTAGTTTTCCTATCAGTGCCAGCGGTTTCTAACTGAAGTTTCATTATATTGGCCGGCCAACTGTGAGTGTTAGAAGAAAGGGGGGGGAGTGTTCCAGGTTCCTTTAAGCCATAAACCCACGTCAAACCTGAAAGAAATCGCTGAATGACGTGGAAACTCGTGGATGAGACAACAAACTTTCGTTTAAAAAGCCAGGCGTTATCCTGAGAAATAATTAAAGGATGAAATAATCACAAGTAATTTTTACTATCTTGTAGCTACTCTCACTATGGAATCGGTTAACACAGCTGAAGTGATGCTGAGAGGAAACGCACAAGGAAATTACATCGCGATGAACACTAAGGGAGAGTTGTACAGTACAGTAAGTCAGACGGGTGATTGTTTAAAATTTTATGTTCTACAATATTCAATTTCTTACACTAAGCGGACACCTAACCAAAGGCACGTCTCCTTCTTCCAGACAATCAAGCCCCAGCCATTGTGAGGAACAGTTACGATTTGGTCAGTTTGTACTTTCACATCTCAAGAGTATGCACGTTTTCTTGTAAAAGTGGCAACAGAGCCTTTGATCCTAATAAAGGGAGAAACCATGGGTCATAGGTGAGACCCCTTGAATCCAGCCAAAAAATATAGTCAAAAATTCGTGATCTTTCACCATTCAAAGGGAGTACGTCCTAGACAGACGACAAATAGATAGGAGACTGTAAATCTTACCCAACTATAAATTAACAACAAGTCTTCATCGCTCGGTATTTTCTCCTATTTGTATTCGATCTTGTCTCATTGTCACTAACTTCATCTTTATTTTCAACAGAATAGTCCAACTCACCCGGAGTGCGTCTTCAAAGAGATTTTTGGAACGAAGTACAATTCTTACCAATCCACATTAAATCCTGCCTGGTACCTAGCTCTGACAAAACAAGGCGAGGCGAAGTCTGGGCCCAAAACTAAACCCGGACAGAGGGCTGTTAGCTTTCTAACTGAATGACTAATAACCGAATATCAAGAAAGTTTATATGTAATTTGTAATAGACCCAATAAAAAGATGTATAAAATGGAGTCTTCATGTTTTCTGGGTTTTTGTGTGTGCGTGTGCGTGTGTGCGTGTGTGTGTTTTTGTTTCTCTTACAACTCCATATTAACGTTCTGTAAAGCTGTCTTGAGGGGGAGAGTTCTTTAGTATCAGAGATCGTTTGAACAGGTCCCTAGTGTTGCCTCATGCCCTTACTTCGAAGATTTTCTCTGAGCTCCAAGAGTTACCTTTTTCCACCCGCCAGTCAATTTAAATCAAAACGAAACGTCTCTTCTTGTTGTTTGTTACCTAGGTAACAGGTCTAACAACCACCATCTTGAATTCTGTCTGTCAACTCTCCTCTTTGTAAGAACCTGTTTCATCCACGAATGACGCAGAACAAACAAGACATAGAAGTAAAAAGAGTAGGGGCTAGGAAAATAGTAGTAAAAACAAAGGAAAATCAAACTAGTCCATAAACCGTGATAAAATTTCATTTGTCTATTTAGCACTAGAAAGCCTTCAGACTAAGGTCTGCACTGAAACAGTTTGATGAATATTTTTGTCTATATTCATGATTGTGGTCCCAAATATTGGATCATTCTTCCTTTTTGACATTTCAGTTAATTTGCCTTGGAATCATTCTAAAATGAATCGACTGAAATTTCGCATGCTTTAAGCTAGCGTGACCAAAACAAAGTCACGTGCATCAAGCATGGGTTCAACTGGATCGGGTTCGTTTATTTACATATAAGGAGTGAACGCTTAGCTGCCAGGCAATGCATGTTAGGCCAAAGAAGGACGGAAGTGAGTTTTGACTTAAGTGGAGAGTTCATCTGCTGTTTAGGCGAATGTTATGGCTGTCTTTTTTTATTATCTCCCGCTCCTGTATAGCCTGTAGTTTCCCCTGCTGAGGTAAGAGGTGTTTGATGTTTTCTAAGCGTAATATAAGGAAGAGTTGCAAGGTAAGTTACGATCCAATCAATGTCACACTTACACATCAGTGAAGAATTCCACTACAGTCGAACCTCGATTATCCGGACTTTTCGATTATCCGGACTTTTTCTCTGGTCCCGTTTTTTTCATGAATATTAATGACCTTAGATGTTAAAAACTTTAGTAGGTAAAAAAATTCAGAAATTATATTAAAAGTCAGGAAAATTGTGTTTAAAAAAGCGCATTACACGCTCCGCTTTCGAAAGATCGAGCGCTCGGAGACAAAAAGAGACAAGAACCATTTTAATGCCTTCAGCTGAATTTTGATTGGTTCAGTATTGTTTTGTTGCTAAGGGAATGTCATGCTTGATCAGTTCGATGAGCGTGGGTTATGTAAACACACGAGACGATCATAACTCAATTGTCTCATTAATATTCATATTTTCGATTATCCGGACTCTCGATTATCCGGACTATTTACCCTAGTCCCACCGAGTCCGGATAATCGAGGTTCGACTGTACTAAGCTTTCTGATTTACTTTGATATATGCTACAAATACGACAACGAATCGCAGTTGAAGCACAATTGAAAGTTGTCGGAGTATTTAGTTATTTTGAGTTGCTTTTTTGTTCTCTGATATCAGGAGAGAAAGCGAGTGATAATTTCATCTCGGGTAATTAAATTGCAGCAATTTGGAATTTATCGACTAAAATTTTCTCCTCAGAGGGAATGTTATGATTTGATTAATAGGTTTGTAGTTCAGTCGGCAAAGGTACCAAGTCATAACAGTCAGCTGATAAATTCCGTAAAGCTCCATAGGGCTACTTCATATGCATACAGCTTTTGGATAAAGAAAACAATAAATTTGCCTTTGGATGTTTCAGAATAGTACGGGGCTTATACGGAAATCTCTGTTTTCCTCTTTAAGAGAGAATTTTAAAATTTTAGGAGAGGGTTTATGTTTCATTTAGCAAACGTACCACGTCATAAAATTCGGCTGATAAATCTTAAATTTTATTAGTTAAACCAGTTTCCAAATATTTCATATGATTAAGAATCTATAAATGAACGTTTAATAATTTGTCCCACAATGTAAGAGTCAGGCTAATGATAGCGTATTGATCGTGACATTTCAACTGCTTTACTGCTAGTCTTTGTCAGGCAATGAGGTTATAGCACCTTGGTTTGTTGTTATTTGTGTGTTTTGACGTGCTGTCATTGCTGCATTTCAATCCTTATTAGTAGTCCGACTATTAGATGTTGTTCCTTCATAGGTCCACTTTGTTGCTGATTGGCAATTATGCTTTTTGATGGTAGACACCTTTTCTCACCTGATTGTTGAGAGGTAATCGAGGATCTTTTTGCAATGGAGAGATTTCACATGAGGCATGTAAGTAGAAATTTCATGTAATTGTAATTGTCTCACTTCCTTGCATCACATTTTGAAGCTGTAAGAAAGTAGTCAAGCTAGCTGAAAGGCTGAATTCTCCATTTGAATCATATTTTAAAAGGACCCAGGTGGAAATCTTATTAAGATCTTACTAAGATTCTTGTAAGTTTCTTACTAAGATTCTTATTAAGATTCTTAATTAAGAATCTTGTAAGACCTTACAAGATCTTGTAAGATCTTGTCACAAGATTCTTACAAGAATCTTGTAAGATCTTACAAGAATCTTGTAAGATCTTACAAGAATCTTGTAAGATCTTACAAGAATCTTGTAAGATCTTATAAGATCTTGTAAGAATCTTGTGACAAGATCTTACAAGATCTTGTAAGATCTTACAAGATTCTTGTAAGAATCTTGTGACAAGATCTTACCTGATCTTGTAAGATCTTATAAGATTCTTGTAAGAATCTTGTGACAAGATCTTACCAGATCTTGTAAGAATCTTGTGACAAGATCTTACCAGATTCTATAAGATTCTTAACTAAGAATCTTGATAAGTGTCTTAGTAAGAAACTTACAAGAATCTTACAAGAATCTTACAAGAATCTTACAAGATCTGGTAGGATTCCTGTGACAAGAATCTTAATTAAGTACCTTCACAAGTTTTCAAAAGAACTTGTAAGATTCTCAACAATGTCTTAATGATCTCTAAAAGAACTTACAAGAACTTGTGAGATTTTCAAACAACTTACAAGAATTTTTGCAGAATCTGTAAAAATTCTTAAGTATCATATTTTTTTCAGACCATAGTAGGTAACTGATGGTTTATGCAATATGCAGTAACTGGATGATTGAGGAATGGAGATCACAACTAAGAAAGAATTTCTTCATCCAACATTAAGCAAAATTTATTGCAAATTCTCAACACTGTGAAATTAATTACTAAAAAAGATCTTGATAAGAAACGTTAACTGGTAAACATGCACGATTTAAATGACAACTGTACAAGAAGAGTTCTTGTTCTTCCCTTTGGTGTGTTTTAAAAATTTAAAAAAACAATTGTTTTAATTGTTGGAGTCATTTGACAGTTTGATTTGAACTACCATAGTTATCCTTGCACAAAAAAGCCATAATAACTAAAGGCATGTCCCAGTTTTAAATTGTTCTTCGTTTGATTCAAACTGCAATGGTTTTTCTTCTTTTAGAATAATTTAAGCATGAAAACAAAAAAAAACAACAAAATTTCGTATTGCAGCAAACGTGTTCAAAGAATTAAAGCTCAATATCACTCATCTCAGTTGGCATTTTAGTCAATTTGACAGCTACTTGACAAGCAAATTTGCAAATATTTCAATTTTGTACAAATATCAACCAAGCCTTAGTTCATTCAACATTGCCCTCTACATTGTGAACTTTTCTCTTGGAATCCAAGCAATTTTTTTTATTCAAGTAGAGCCTTATTTGAGACCACCTCTTATTCATTTGGGCATCACCAAATTTCTGTTTTATGGCTCCTGTGGGAAGAAAAAAAGAAAAAAAGAAAATAGTAATTTGTATACAGGTACAAAATATACTAAAACCTTGAGAGCGTATTTTTTAAAATCCCTGCCAGAGAGGAGTAATAGGAGATTGGTTTCATTGTGAGGAGTACTTACTAAGGTAGAGGGGAGGAGCTTCTCAATGGTTCTCCTTGATCACCATCATGCCTCATCTGTACGCAAAGAAAAGGAGGTAGTGACTATCTTTAACAAGAAGTTATCATCTTGAAGAGCAAAATTTTTATGCACAGGTTCCCAGTTATGAATCTTGGCAATTTGCACTGCCCAACTCCAATCCAACAAACTTTGTTTACGCTTTGCACTGCTGAAACAGCTATTCCAAATTCCCACAAAAAGTTGATAAATGAAAAATTACCTTTTTACAATCAGGAGTTGCCACCCTTCTATCCCATTCTGTGCTTGTAGCATCAAGATGGGACTCAAAGTCTACTTTATTCAGGATAAAATCATTTTTACAGGTGATCCTATCTCTCCAGTTCTCCTGTGAATATGAATTGAAAAAATGTTTACATTTGTTGAGCAATCCCTCTACTGAATTAAGTTTCATTAACCTTTAGAACAAAGAAAATTGTGAGAAAGGGAAGCAAGGAATCATAACTCAGCATTAAATGAAAACCAGAAAAAAATACACACACATTCACAAAACAAAACAAATAAAAACTAAACAGAACCAAACAAAATACAAAAAATGTTGCATGGAATTAATACAGGTATAGAATGTGTTAGAGTAAAAATTAACAGGATAACAGTGCCAAAATTCTGCCTTAAGCCATTTAAGTCAATGAAGTCTTGAAGGAGGGGGGGAAATGAACTATCATGCACCAACATTGAATATTTAGAGTTCTTACATCATCAGAAGAACTTCCCATTTTTTGGTAATTTTTGTTTGCTTTGGGAAGATTCCCATCACTGTGGACATGGTCGTGATAATCAAACCCAGTTTGGCTTTCATCATCATCATCATCAGTGGAAACTTTTAAGTAGAACGTGGCAATTTATAATTCATTATTTGGGAATAAAGTAATTCCATAATCGATTTCGCGTTGTTATTGCACCCTTCTAGTTTAACTTCTAGTGGTTATTAGTAAAGCCGAAGACAAATTAATTGTTTATTGTGAACCATTTCCATGCGAGACGACTGGAAGCTACGATGATTCTGCCTACAACACTTAAATCCGGAACAATCTGGATTAAAACTGACTTGAGAGAATTGCTACAAGTGCAGTAAGGTTAGCAGCCGCCGTTACGGGGTTTTGATGATGATAGCGTTACATCTCGTGTCAGTTTCCACTCAATTCTAAACAAAAACGCTTCCTGACGAAATCGAACCCTAACGAGATTTTATGATTTGCCTTATATAAAAATACCGTGGCCTTGCAATTACATAAACTTATCGTCACTTTTTTCGTCCATGCTAAAAGAATCTAAAAAGTGCGAGAAATAAGTCTATCGCATCACCTTCCAGATGTGTAATGTTGATAACGTGAACTTAATGAATAAAAGTCAGTAGCACTTACCTTCGGGATGATTTGCCTTCATTCGCTTCAGTTGCAGTCGTGCACTAGCTGCTTTTTTGGAAATCTTCTCAAGATACTTAAACTACCAAGACCAATGTGTTCCTTGAGTTATGAAGCGAGTGTCGTGCACAATCATACGTGTGCTTTCTATGTGCTTAGATGTGTAAACTATTCACCTGAGGCCACTTCACGTGACAGAATAAAACAAGGATATCGCAACCTTGAATGTGTAATCGTAGTGTTCTTTCACAAGAAAAGCAAAACGCGATTTATCTTCTCTGGTGTGCTGTAAACTCATGTTACTTACCGACTGCTTCATTTTCTGTATTTTAAGCGACAGTAACATTAGTGATTTTGCAAAGAACTTGGCTTGTAAAATCCTAATTCTCGAGATCATTATTCTTCGCCAGGGCTTTAGACACAATTAAATTTCGCAACGAGGTAGATAACACTCAACCAAAGTAAAATTTCTGTAGAACTTTGCCGAAACGAAATGGCGCGTGAACGGTTGACAACAACGGTCGAGTGAACAATTTGTAATTTTGCGCCGGCCGTAGCGGGAGACTGGGGAGAGCCTTAGTGAAAGTACAAAATGTCACGCAACTCTCGCAAGTATTTTGTAAGTAACTACCTGTAAACTTTTTAAAAATACTTTTAATTTCTGCCATCTGACCGGTCTGCAAATTTTCCATGTTTATTTGTTAGTTATTTTGTAAAGAATTTGGTCGGTAAAATCTTAATTCTCAAAATCATTCTTCTTCTTTAGGGCTGTAAGGCACAGTTAAATTTCGCAACTAGGCAGATAACACTCGATCAAAGTAGAATTTCTGTCGAACTTTGTCCGAAACGATATGATGCAAAAACGGTTAACAACAATGATCAAGTGTACAATTTGCAATTCTGCATATGCGCTGTGGCGTGGAATGCCTTGGTGAAAGTACAAATTTCGTGCAACTTTCTTGAAAAGTATTTTTACAAGTAGCTAGCTATGAATTTTTTTTAAATACATCTTTTCATTCTGCCATCTGTCTGCATACTGCCATATTTTTTTTTCTGAACCATATCAGCGAAAGTCTCTTGCTTGTGGAATGTGGTGACATTATCTATGGGTGTCTTTATGTTCAAGGCAAAGATGGGAAGGTTTAATCCCTTTCTAGACACTCCCTATGAACATGATTAGTGATTATTTAAACTAGCTGTTCAGTATATTTCATAATCAATCATCAAATGTAATCTGAAAAGTCTGTCCAAATTTAATCTGTTGATACCATAATTCCAGTGGAACAATTACCTCGTTAGAAAGCAGCTGCATGTGTATTGTGTTCTCGGGTCTGAAATTTGCACACCATACCATAGAAGCTTACTTGACGTTATTTGATCCCCTTTTGGACATGGGATTTTTCACATCATGTGTGAGAGGTTTCAAGCCTTATGCATCCCCATGCTCTCTTATGAACAGAACAGGATAAAGCATTTCAAGTTACTCAAGAATGTACTGGAATGAACTTGATAAAATCTTGTCAAGAACATTTAAATTCCTACTGATCTTAAAATTTTGATTCTTACAAAACTCTTAGATGAACTTTAGATGAAATCCTGTCTAGAATCGTTATGATGTTACATTTACAAATCTTACTTAATTATTAAGATTCTTAACAAACTTACCAAGATCTTGTCAAGAAGCTTGTAAGATCTTCCTTTTCTTAAAGATTAAGATTCTTACAACTGAGATTCTTAAGTGAACTTTATATGATGTTGTTAAGAACTTTCAAGATCTTAATGCCCATGTGTTGTAAAATTTTTTTAGGATTCTTACAAGATTCTTAAATAAACTTAATAAGATCTTGTTAAGAACCTTCCAAGATCTTAATCCCCATGTGTTGTAAAATTTTGTCAAGATTCTTACAAGATTCTTGTATAAACTTAATAAGATCTTTTAAGATCTTACAATGCTCAAACCTGGTTAAGATTTGTTCAAGAAATTTGGCAAGATCTTATTAAGATTATTAATTCTTAATAAGATCTTGGTAAGATCTTCATCTTAATTGCCATCTTATAAGATTCTTACAAGATCTTCCAAGATCTTACAAGATCTTCCAAGATCTTAATAAGATTTCCACCTGGGGAATCATTCTCCAATCAAAAACTTCTAGACTTCAATTATATGGTCTCTTCAACAGAATGTTGCATGTACCTTGTTCACTGCTTCAATGTTTCGTGGGAGAACGAATAACAACCCATGGAATGTTCATCAGTGCAAATGAGGACTTTTTAATTTTTATCCTTCCGGCATCCAGAATCCTGAATGATCCGAATGAAACTCACTGAACTGAAAACAATGGCTAAAACAATAAAGTGCTTTTGGGACTACGACAATGTTTCAGAATAGTAAGGGGCTATACAGAAATCTCTGTTTTCCTCTTTAAGAGGGAATGTTATGATTTTATTAGAGGGTTTATTTTTCATTTGGCAAATGTACCACGTCATAGAATTCTGCTGATAAATCTTAAATTTTGTAAGTTAAACCAGTTTTCAAATATCGGATGTGATTTAGAATCTACAAATGAACATTTAATTGTTTGTCTCACTTTGTAAGAGTCAGGCTAATAATCGTGTTTTGATCGTGACATTCCAACTGCTTTATTGCTAGTCTTTGTCAGGCAATTAGGTTGTAAGTTTAAGTGTTGTCATTTAGAACCTTGGTTTGTTGTTATTGGTGTGTTTTGACATGCTGTCATTGTTGCATTTCAATCCTCATTATTTTTCTGACTATCAGATGTTGATCCCTCATACTTCTGGTTTTTTTGCTATCAGCAATGATGCTTTTTGATAGAAGACATCTTTTTCACTTAATTACATGGTCCTGATCTCCATATTCATGAGTCTGATAACTGGTCAATTTACCTACAGTTAGAATTTCATTCCAATAATTTGGCTAGAGTGTTACTTGCATATGCATGATTGGCAACTAGATATTAGATTGCATGGTTGGCAACTAGATCTCAAGATTGCATCATCGGCAACTGGATATTAGATTGCATGATTAAAAACTAGATCTTTAGATGGCTTGGATGGCAACTCGATCTTTAGATTGCATTGTTGCAACTATATCTTTAGATTGCATTGGTGGCAACAAGATCTTAGGGTTGCACTGGTGGCAACTACAGTGCAGATGATCTTTCGATTGCATGGTTGGCAACTAAATCTTTAAAGGTGCAAAACTCTAGAACAAAAATTTATCTTTCTAATCAGCACTCTTAATCCCCATGGTATCAACCAGCACTTTTTATTCAACTAATTCATTCTTGTTTTTGAGTCATCATATTCCTACCAATAGTGTAGCTCCATTTTCTGCATAAAAACACACACAACCCACAATTCCTCCATTCACTCTGACAAAAGGCTAATGCTTGAAACATTAGCTTTGAAACTCTGTGTGGTGGCCAATTTGCATAATCAACTCAATTGATAATTATACTTAATTACCCTGTTGTACTCTCCTACTGATGCAGCACCAGAGTTTCTTTAGAAACGTATATCCCTTAATTGAATAATTGTAAATAAACAGAGCACAGCCACTTGAAAGCAGCCAGAGCTATAGAGCAAACTGGTTGGCTGAGCTAATTGCCTACTGATTGATCATCAATGCTTTGTTACTCAAACCTGCCCACATAAACATGACTGTTGGTTAATTGCCACATTGAACATTACAGCTAGTCAATGAATGGCTCAGAAATACCTTAAATAAACTGAATCCTCTGCAAGATACAATCCTTTATCGATCAAAGTTTTTACTTTAATTGGTTTGTTAACTTATGATAGCTTGAAACAGAGAGTTATCTTTACAGCCATTGTGAATGTTATTGGAGACTTAATTTTGCAAAAATTCATTTTAAAACTGGTTTTCTTTTTATTGTCCTATTCTGTATGTGGTATGTTGATCATATATATATGCTAAGTTTGGCTCTTATAATTCTGCTTTCTTTGTTGAGAATTTGAATAAAAAGGCTGTTTCGGTGAAGATTATTTCCCAGTTGGTATAGAGGCAAGGACCAATTTCGCAGGGGGGTAAGACAACAGAACTTAAATCCTCCTGTGGTGACCTTAAGATCATATACAGTAAACCATTTTACTTGCCATCAATCAACATCCCCTTTCTACTGTTTATTCAAAGCACCTGTTTATGTAGAAGTGTTATGAAAAAATTATATACTCAATCAATCAAGTGAAGGAAAGAAATTTAATTTGCTTGCTGGAAAATAATGTAGGGGGTGGAAAGGGGGCACCCCTGAGTGAGGTTTTTCCCACCACTAAACTTTTGTGGAACTTAGTTAATGGAATTTATTTGTTAGTAGTTTGAATTTTCAAATTCCAGGTCAAGATGGTTTCAAACATGTATTTGATCATTATATATCCCATCATTCCAACTACTTTTCTATAATTCTTTTGTTAAAAAATATTTCAAGGGAAAAAACCCAAAATTATTTAAACTATATAATTGCCACTGGCAGTAATGATTTTATTAACCTGAGTCTATTTAACTAAAGATGTATTTCAAGATACAGTGGAGTTCAATCCTTCCTTCCTTCCTTCCTGCTTTAGCAACTTGAGTAGTTAAGAGGCAATCTCTGTAAGAGCGGTCCAGGGCATTTCGCATCGGAAAAAAGTTTTCCCTCAAACTTTGCCCAATAAACTATCTTTGGTAACAAGTAAATAAAACCACATTAGTTTCTGGAAATACGTTAAAATAAAATTTTTAGAGCTCTCAAAAGTCAAAGCTGCAAAAGGCCCTTTTTTGACCTCTTGCGACATCGAAAATGTCAAAAGTTGAATAGCCCGGTCCTCGTATCACACCGCATGCAGCAAAAAATATTTTGTATTCTTAAAGTGTGCGATATATAAGGTGGTTCTTGGTTGATATTGCTCAAGTCCAGACCAGACCATTAAAAACTCCGCTTGATTTCTGCTAACAAGATGTTTGGCTGCAGAAAAATATAAAAACATCTTGCACTTATTGATTTTCTTCGCCGAGGTGACTTCGAACTTTTAGCGATATTGCTAGCGTGACAGCCGATTATGCAAATTAGTTCATGGAGCAAACTCCGACGGTTTTATGTGAGTAGCTCAATAAATCTTAGATTTTAACCATTTTAAGTAGTATATCGTAGGACAGAGCTTTAAGACCACACCGATTAATCCTTTAAGCATTTTAAAAGGCGAAAATTTGACAAATTTTATTATCTTGTGACGAAAGACGTCAACAACAACGTATCGAATATCATAATTTGATTAGCGCTCGCAAACTCTTTTTTCTCTCGCTTCTATTATTTCATATTTGAGTTCTGATGGCTTACGCTACTCAAACCTGCATGAACATTTCAAAATTAAACTACATGATTCTATTTAGTGTAACCGGTGATAACAGCACACACTGAAATACACCGTGACCAGTGACTCTGTCAGGTAATTCCATCTTGTAATTGTCCTGAATACTTCTCACGTCTAAATAAAGCAGCGATTTCTCAGATTTCTAGCTGAAAGGGAAAAAATGATATTTGGTGGTCACATCTGTCTGCATAACAGTCTCTGTTCATAAGTTTGAAGAGTTCTTGTGAAAAAGGATATCGCATTCGCATAACGGGTGGACGTGGACGTCATAACTGGATTGCATAACAACTGCACTCTGAAATAATTTCCTCCATTTTTGCAAGAGGTGCTGCATTTGTATCTTGCATTTTGAATGCGAGCTCAAAATGTTCGCACATGTCTCTTAGCATCTTGACTTTGAGACTAGGCAACCTTGCTTCTCTTGCCAACGAGCACACATCATAGATATCAAACATGATTGGATGTTTCAATCCTATCTGATCCATTACTGTGTTCCTCGCCTCTCTCAAACACCCTTTGTCTACATCAGACGCGGATGCTTCTATCAAGTGGTCGTCTGCGTCGGTGACATCATCCGATTCTTGTTGTATTTTAGATCGCTGTTTAAGGCACAATCTCGAGAAGAAACCCTGTATCTGTATGTTCCTGTTTTCAGTCGTGTTCCTCAGAAACTTTGTTCGGAGACTCACGAGGAGTTTCCGGTTTGTTTAACTTACCTCAGAGTACTGACTCAATAAAGAGTCATCTCTGCTTAATCCATTTGTCAAAAGAGAGTTTCACAGAAGGAGAGCTTATCTTTGCAATGCCTTGTACACAAGAATTTAGTGTTATTAATCCCAAGCAAACCAGTACCGAAAGAGACATATGAATTACAGCTAATAAAATTACGCGCTTTACAATATAGATATAGCTAATTGTTGGAGAAATGAGGTGACACGTAACGTAATAATTTATTTCCTCAAAAATCGCAGGGTCCTTTTCCACAAGAACTCCCTAGAGTTTTGAATAGAAACTTTCATAAAGACATGTGTGCAGACAAAATTTCTCTTATTCTTGCCGACCAGAATTCTGATCCAAAAGGCGATGTTATCGCTGCTTTATTACGGAGAGAGAAGCAATTCAGGATAATTACACAATTGAATTATGTGACAGTGGTCACGGTGTATTTCAGTGTGTGCTGTTATCGCCGGTTACACTAAATAGAATCCTGTAGTTTGGTTTTGAAATGTTCATACAGGTTTGAATAACGTAATCCATCAGAACTCAAATATGAAATAACAGAAACCAAATTTTTAAAAAGGGGTTTGCGAGCGCTAATCAAATTATGATATTCGATACGTTGTTGTTGACGTCTTTCGTCACAAGATAATAAAATTTGTCAAATTTTCGCCTTTTAAAATGTTTAAAGGATTAATCGGTGTGGTCTTAAAGCTCTGTCCTACGATATACTACTGAAAATGGTTAAAATCTAAGATTTATTGAGATACTCACATAAAACGGTCGGAGTTTGCTCCATGAACTAATTTGCATAATCGGCTGTCACGCTAGCAATATCGCTAAAAGTTCGAAGTCACCTCGGCGAAGAAAATCAATAAGTGCAAGATGTTTTTATATTTTTCTGCAGCCAAACATCTTGTTAGCAGAAATCAAGCGGAGTTTTTAATGGTCTGGTCTGGACTTGAGCAATATCAACCAAGAACCACCTTATATATCGCACACTTTAAGAATACAAAATATTTTTTGCTGCAGGCGGTGTGATACGAGGACCGGGCTATTCAACTTTTGACATTTTCGATGTCACAAGAGGTCAAAAAAGGGCCTTTTGCAGCTTTGACTTTTGAGAGCTCTAAAAATTTTATTTTAACGTATTTCCAGAAACTAATGTGGTTTTATTTACTTGTTACCAAAGATAGTTTATTGGGCAAAGTTTGAGGGAAAACTTTTTTCCGATGCGAAATGCCCTGGACCGCTCTCACAGAGATCGCCTCTTAACTGGTAAATGCTTACTTAGTAGCCCAGTGAGAAGGGGGATTCCTTTAGTTTTCACAGAACAACTAAAAAGGCACAAAGTCACTGATTGTATTATGAAAGGCTTTGTATCATTCTTGATATTCACAGCCGGAACTTTACGTCTGTGGTATAGAAAGTCCAGAAGGGCAATTTTGTTCGATACTTTTAGGTAAGTGGAAACGAAATTAATCTAATCAATGGTTAATATATCATTATAACTTCAGTTTTTTAGATTTTTTTCTCCTTTATATTGTTTTGATTGTTAAAGTTACGAGATACACAGCTGTGGCACAGAAAATAGCTACACCTTTTGTTAGTCATTAACACAAAATATTCATTCATTTGTGCTTAGCGCTGGTTCATTAAAGTCACAGTACATTCATTAGCGCCATACTAAACTTCATTAAAACGAAGTAAACTTTCAATAGTGCGTTTAATATATGGATGAACATTCAATAGCATCAAGGTGGAATCTATAGCTCCATTGGACATTCGTGCACACGGAATGTAACGTCAATAGCACGAACTGACAAACCATAGCATCGGCCGAATTTACACTAGAGACGAGTTATCCGTCAGAGACGAATCATCCGTCTCAGACGGATAACTCGTCTAAATATAAATTTGGTACTAAGACGAATTA